CCCAAGAAAATTGCTGTTCTATGCAAAATATACTGTACCATTCACGTCTCAACTTAGCCATTTCTATTCTGACATAGTTTCCTTTCACATTTGACATACAGTATGTAAATGTGAGCCAATCACCAAAAACTCCTTTCTAAAATTGAGATTGTTAATATTTTTCTTTGAAGATCGTCACCTCTTTTCACAGGAAATTACTGTGAACTTTCTTGCTGCCTGGCAGTAGTTAACTGAGCTTTTCTTCCCATTTTTTGAAAGGAAATATTGTGCCAGAGACCATTTCTAGAAATTCATCTATATTTAAAAATCATTATCTTTAAAAATTGGTATTGAAAGTCATTGACGGGGCTGCATTCAGCTCCAGGAGCCGGAGTACAGGTTAGACAACTCTCCTTTGAACATGTGCTTGGTAACTCGTGGTCTATTTTAGAATGCTTCAGTTCAGTGTAATTACTACAGTTTCTAAAGGAGTTTCTGTGTAATTACGATGTAGTTTATTCCATGGTAACTATGCAATTAACTTGTCCCACTTCTCTAAATGGAAAATACTATAATTCTAATACAAATGGCTTGGACGCTAGTTTTCTCAACTGCACTTTAAAAATATCTGTATTTTAAATGCTTTCCTCATTTTCTCCCTTCGCCTTCTTTAAATAACCTATCTGGTTTAGTTCATTATTATTATTTTTTTTATACCAAAGAAAGGCAAGATTGCTAAAATTTTATTGGGCAGCCCTGAATTAGCAAGAAATCTTCTGGGGGAAAAAAATAACAGTGAGAGTTCAATCATCCATACAAATGGATCCTGGGTCAGGGCCTTTAAAGAACTGGTTGATGTCTGATGGACATCAGGTAGTGAGCCTAGAGAAAAGGGATCCATTGTCTTTACTGCTCATTATGTTAGAATTAGATTTGGGAGGGAATTTGCTTGATTTAGGCCTTTATGTTTTCTGCTCTAAGGGGGAGGGATCCCAGGGCACATTCCCTCCTATTGTTTAAGACACAGGTCTGGGGGGTGGACTTGAGCACTAATAGGAGGCTTTGAAAAGAGAAAGTAACCCAAGTGCTAATACGACCTAGAGGAAAATGGGAAGTATCCATTGATAGAGTTTTTCAAAAATCATTTTGTTTGTTCCTGTCTTCATGACCATCTTGGATGTCATTTATGTGGCCCATTGAGACAAATGAATTAATTTCTAAAAGCAAATCAGCTTATCTTTCAAACCTTGGACCCCAGGGCCAGTCTGAGGCATACTTCTCACTCACCTAATCTAATAAATCCATCTGTCCATCTTCTATCCAGGTGTTCAAGGTATATGGACTACTTTGGTGCTGGGGATAAAGAAGAACCTTACAGACCATTTGGGGAGGCAGTTGGAACAACAGCAATTAGACTATAGCATGGTGGCATATGTGCTATGAGAACACAACCACTCTGCAAATATTGTGCAAATATACCAAGCACCTCCTACGTGCTGGACACTACTCTCAGGTGTGGAGATGCAACAGGGAATGAGATCCCGGTCCTCGGGGAGCTTCCATTCTAGTAGGGGGACAGAGAATTAACAGGTCGACAAGTAAGAATGGACACAGCTGCAGACAGGGACCAGTTCCTCAAAGGAAAGCAGAGAGGGGTGGGGACAGGAAGGCTTTGCTGGGTGAGGTGGCCAGGAGGGGCTTCTCTGAGAAAGTGACATTTGAGAAGAGGCAGGAATGAATTCAGGCCGTGAACCCTGGGAAGCTCTGAAGGAGCCACGTTCTCTGAGGTGGGCTGAGCAAGTGCTAGCAAGGAAGAGCCTTCTGTCTGAGGAGCGGCGGGGCTGGAGACCAGTGAGTGGGGGGAGAGCCCCTGGAAATGAGGCCAGAGAGGCTGAGTCAGAGCAGGTGCACCACGTGAATATTTCAGGGAGCTTGGGCTTTTCTCTTTGCTGGGTGGTTGGTGTGTGAGTGGGATGGGACGTCTGGGAAGGTTTTCTACAGGAGAACAGAAAGAGCTGATATATATATGTATATATTTTAAGAAAAGTGCTAAGCCCATCAAACCAGACTGAAGCGGGAGCAGGCGGGGAAGCCAGGACCCACACAGAGAATTGGGATGAAGGGTGATGGGGGCGTGGCATGGGGTCTTTGTGGTGGAGGCTCTGCAAAATGCCAAAAGGCTTCTGGGTGTGTTTTGAATACACAACCAAAAGGTCTTGCTGTTGAGGTGGATGTGAGGGGCAGAGAATGAGAGGGGGCAAAGAGGGCGCCTAGAAATTGAGCCTGAGCAACCAGGAGAATGAATTGGCTGAAGTGGGGGAGGCTTTGGGAAAAGCAGGGCTGGAGCTGATAAGCCAAGGATTGTCCTTTGGGATGGTGCTGGGTTTGAGGTGCCTCTTTGACATTTAAGTGGAGATATTGACTAGGAAGTTGGACACACGAGTCCAGAGCTGGGGAGGGAGTTTGAGCTGGGAATGTCAGTTAGAGAACTGTTAGCATGCAGGGGGGCTTTTAGAGCAGCAAGACTGGGTAAATTCACCAAGAAAGTAAGTGTAGGAAGAGAAGATGTCTGAAGACTGAGCCTGGGGTCTGCAAGGTTGACATGCTGGCAAAAGAGGAAGAGCAGGTACTGGCAAATGAGGCTAGAAGGTGCAACCAGGGAGAGAGGAAGAAAACTAAGAAGGCTTGAAGTCAAGGAAGGCAAGAGAAAATGTTCAAAAGGGAAGGGATGATCGCCCGCATCAAGTGCACTGAGAGGTCAATGAGACAACCGCCCGCTAGGCTTGGCAAGCGGAGGTCACTTCATTCCGGACAATGGTGTTTCAAAGGAGTACTTGGAGACAAACCCTTATTAAAGTTCAAGGAATGGTTGAAGTTCATTCTTTCAGTTCAAGGAATGGGAGGTGAGGAGGTGGAGACAGCCCACGTAGACCACCCTTTTGTTGAGTTTTGCTATAAAGAGCAGGAGAGATGGAGGCATAGATGGAGGTGAGCACAGGTATTACAGCACATTTATGGGTACAGGCATGATCTCATGGAGAAGGGAGGGTGTGAGAATGTGTAAGAGCAGGGAGATGACTTCCAGTGTGAAGGTGAGAGGCAGGGATGCAGAGTCCCAAAGGAGGGGTGAGCAGAAGCAGCTCTCACAGGAGGGAAGATGGAGTTTGTGGGCACAGAGGCAGAGCGAGAGGTGCTGAAGTTGGGGAAGAGAGCAGCAGGAAGCTCAGGAAGGCCAGCGACCTGAGACCCACTGTGGATAAAACGAGAGTTCCTGTGGCCAGGATTCTCACCTGGCCTTGGTTGACTAGCTCACTGCACACCTGTGGACAATACATGGCTGTTGACTCTATAAAAAGAGCTCTGCCCAGTGCTCTGGGCACGACACGATGGCAGAGCTGCAAGGCTGCAGGAGAGCAGAGCAGAGGCTGGAGTGGTGGCAGCGCAGAGGACAGAGGACCAGAGGACAGCTGTGCGGGACGGCTGTGCAGCGAAGCTCAGAGGACGGCTGTGCAGACAGAGGGGCCCAGAGGCAGAGACCGGCTTGCTGCATGCAGACTTGCTCTAAGTGAATGGGATTCTAGTGACTGACCTGCCACCTGGAAGTAAAGTTGGGTATAACCCTTTCACCCCAAGAACGTTTTGCTGTCATTTTCTTTGCTCACACTGAATCCATAGTGAACTTGCCTGGGGCTGAAACCCATTGACTAGACACCCACTCACCCAGAGTCATGGACGAAGGTGGCAGCTGAGCTGTTCTCCAACTGGCTCTCCTGACTCCAGCCTGCCACTCCTGGCCCAAGGGCTCTCTGTGGCCAAATTTGGCCGCCTCTACCTTTCTCCTCCTTTTCCAGCCAGCAGGACTTTTAGTCAGTCCACTTTCAAGGACTCCATACTCCTTCTTTGATAGACTATAGCTCATTCTGAACGTGCCCTAGCTTTTTTGTGGCAGGAAGAACAATAGCTGCTCAAAAATGTCTGCACCTTAATCCCCAAAACCTCTGAGTCTGTTTCCTTATATGACAAAAAGGGCTTGGCAGATAAGGTTACGTTAAGGATGTTGAGATGGGGAGATTATCCTGGACTCTCTGGGTGGGCAGACACAGGGTCTTTTCAAGAGGGAAGCAGGAGGGTCAGAACCCAAAAAGGACAGGGGATAGCAGGCGGAGGTTAGAGGGACACGTGTTGAAGGTGGAGGGAAGTGCTGTAAGCCCGAGCATGGCCAGCTTCCGAAGTCCAGAGAGGCAAGGGAGTGGGCTCTGCCCAAGATAGAGACCTGTGGAAACTGTGATTTTAATCTTGCAAGACTCATTTCAGACTTCAGACCTCCAGAACAGTGAGAGAATTAATTTGGTTGGTTTTAAGCCACTAAGTTTGTGGTACTCATTACAGCAGCAATAGGGACTAATACACCTTTTATGAGAATTTCCCACTCACATGGTGTCCTGATTCTATGAAGAGATGGAACTTACAGATGGCTAGGCCTCTTCTGCAGATGAGGACCAGCTGTTGAGAGCAATGGTGAGCAGACAGCGCCTTTTGTGTGCGTCATGTTGGAGAGCAGCGAGGCTGCTGGCCGAGCCATCCTGGCCCCGGCTGTGACTTTGTTTTGACAGTGCTCGTAGTAAGGTGAGTCTTTTCAGTGGCACTGCGGCCACGATGGGAGAAGGAATGGTTTCAGGTCTGGGCTCTGTCCCATGCCCTAGAGGCTGAGGCACTGACCCCCATCTTTTTATCCCTTTTCATAAAGTTTCCATCAATACCGTCTGCAGGGTCGATGGGGCTGCCTTAGGCTTTAGAGCAAGCAGGCCAAAGGACTTCCATTTCCCCTCGTTGGGATTCACAGTGTTTTCTCTGTTTATGAAGTTGGGACTTGTCCCAGGTGGCCCCAGGAAGCCTGGCACTAGGCAGCTTTATACCATGGCTGCTCTTCTTAAACTACTTTAAGCTCTTAACTGCCATCCTTCCCTAATGTTTTTGTTACTAAAATTAGAATGTTCATTTTCTCCATGTGCATCCTTGGAAGATTTTGTGATGGGTGAAGTTTTAACTGTCAGAGATCCATGTGTACTGTAATGACGGATGAGAGCATTGCTGTCGGGGCTATGGAGCCGATGGAATTTTTCCCATAAAACTCCAGGGGTGAGTGTTTTCTTTCTTGTCTATAAACTTTCTTCTTTTAATGCTGCTACCTTTTGTAGTTAGAAACAGAGGAAAACAGTAGTATTCCATGTTCTCTCTCTCATAAGTCAGATGGGAAGCTACCATCCTAAAGAGAGGAGTAAAATACCATCCCAGCCCAGCTCGGCAGTCCAAAGGGCAGCCCATCACGAGGCTTTGCTAAATATTAGGGAATGAGACACATTTGCAAACTCTAAAGTGCTTCAATTAGGTCCATAAATAGAAACAAAGAAAATATTATGTAGTTAATGTAATATGGGAGAACCTAATGATGCATCTGGGTTGAGTTAAGAGTTAAGTGCTTAGTGGCAGAGGTGGGAGGGAAAGAAATCCAGGCAGCTACATCCTGGCCCTTCTCTTTCACAGGCCTGCAGCAGGGTAAGGAGGTCAAAGAATTTGGTTCAAGTCACTGCAGGTGAGATGTTTCAGAACTGCAGCCACACTTAACTATGAGCCCAGGAGCCTCAGAAGAAGGATGGATGACCTCTGGGCGTGGCCCTAGTAGGAAGCCCCACCTGATGGGAAACAGAATGGGCCACCTCGGGCACAGAGGCAGCCTCTGCTGCAATAACATCTGGGGTGCGTCTTTAGGGGGGCCTTTCTTTAAACACCCTTTACTCCCACCCCCAGAGGGCAGTTGGTCACTGCCTCTGGGCCCCCATAGCATCCCCCTTACACTTCCCTGGATCTGCTGTTTGCATGTTGCTCTCCTCATTAGGTTGCAAGCTTCTTAAGATCCAGGTCAGTGGGCTATTTATCCTCTTATCGCCAGCACCCCTCCCAACACCTGGCCCAAAGCTGATGCTTAGTCAATACTTTATGCTTGAACAGGAGGGATTCTCTAAGTCAGGGGATGCCAAACGATGGCCCTTGGACCAAATCTGGCCACTAGCCTGTTTTTGTAAATAAAGTTTTATTGGAAATGCAATTGAACTCATCCACATACATTTTGTCCACGGCACCCTACAAAGGCAGAATTGAGTAGTTGCTATTCTATTGCCCACCATGCTTGACATATTTACTCTCTGGACCTTCACATTAAATCTTTGCTGACCCATGATCTAAGGCTATTTTGTCTTCTCTTGGTGATTACATCTGAAAACAAATTACAAGGATGTTGGAAGTTTCCTAATTTTATCACCTGAAACAATCAGATACAGCCTAAGCCAAATACATACAGGGTTGAGAATCAGGCTGCTCCCTTTACTGGGGGCTGGACTGTCCTTGGAATCTGAAGAATTTCCTGCTTCCCAAAGCCTAGGGAGGGCTCAGCAGGGTTAGCTTCTGCAGGAATGACTGCAAACAGCTTTTCGACCTCAAATTGTTTCCTCCTTCACTCGTGCACACCGCCTAAAATGTCATCCAATACCCCTGTGAGTATTACGGATATTATGGGTTTATATTTTGTTTTTCAAGGCACTTTTCTCTTTGCTCTAATCTGTGGTCAGTAACAGTGGTAAAATGGATGCTTTGAGAGGGTGTCTGTGTGGTTCTGGTGGTGCTGGTGAGGAGTGGGTGGTGGAAGACTAGAAAGACAGAATTATTTTGGGGTTGGGACTCTGGAGGGAGAAGCCCTGGGTGTTTCTTCGAGTTGGGACTTTAAGTGAGAAGAGGGCAGCAGGTGCTGAGCACCTGGAGATATAGGAGAGGCGTTCAGAGGAGGGCCACAGGAGGTGGGGGTCACCAGACATATCTCCCCACTTCCAGTCTGTGCCCTGGGTCAGCTCTGCAAACAGGACCTCTCCACCAACTGGGCAACTGCACATAGTCCAGTGGGTCCCAATGAGGGGGCTGTTTTGCCCCCAGGGTTCACTGAGCAATGTCTAGCAACACTTGTGGTTGTCAAAACCGGGGGTGGAGGAGAGCTGTTGGCATTTAATTAGTAGAAACCCGGGGTGCTGCTGAATATGCTACAGTGCACAGGAAGCCCCTGCACCCCGCCCACCACCCCAACCCCCTTCAGCCTCCTACTCCCCACCCCCAGCAAAAGCTCATCTGCCTCCATATGCTAGAGGTGCTGAGCTGAGACCCCAGTATATACTCGCACACATCCTTTGACATGATGAAAGACACCTGGACAGAAGCTGTGCATGGAAAGGTACCTGTCTGACTGGGGCCTACTGAAATTTTTTGCCCAGAAGATTGCAAAGCAATTAGACGGGGCATCTCATTCTGGTTTGGAAGAATAGGAAGAATTATCTTGTCATCACAGGGCAATTATCCTGTGAATATTTTGGCAGTACATTATGTTTTGCTATGTAATTGCAATTAGCATGTAAGTGATCTAGTACTTCTGGTGTGTGTCATTCCTGCTCTGAAAAATACATGACTAATGCTAAGGTGACAGCGACATATGGCTGACGTGGACATCAGCCATGCTGGCAGCTTCTTACCTAGCCTCTGAGTTCAGATGGTCATGTTTTTACATGAATTTTAGGTAAGAAGGTACAGAGAGGGCTTGAAAAGAAGTGGCAACTTATTCATGTTGAGAGTGGCCATGGGAATATATGATTTTTCCATTTCTTAGAAACACTTTAAGGTCCAACACTGATTCTTTTGAAAGGCCACCATATTCTTGATGGCAGAGAATATTCTCTGCATCAACACAATATATTTCTCTTCCCAAATCTTTAAATGTTCCAATCTGAATTAAAAATGTTTTATTTTCACCCACATAGATCACATTTTTCTATTAGAATGCTTAGGGGTGTACACTTTTCTTTAATGCTTAACTCTGATTTCATTCCCATTGTTGTGTGTGTTTGAGTATCTACCAGAATAATAACCCATACTCTGAATTCTCAGTAATGACTTGCTAATTTTCTTCAATGAGTAAGTTTTCTGAAAATATTCTCTTTTGAACTGGGTTCTTTTCTCCTTTATAGTAATTTCTAACAGCAAAATAGGAAAGTTATAGAGAGTGTTTGGGTGTTGAGAAGCACGTGGGCTGAACGCTGGCATGCTGCTGAGTCTAGGTGGAGGGTTCAGGCTGGGCAGGCTCCCTGGGGGCATCTGGTGGGAATTAGGCAGGAATGCAAAGAAACCTGGTTCTTTATCTTGCACACAGCGTAGAATCAGGCTGGTGGGGGACCCCAGCTCTGCTGCCCAACCTTCTGGATCTAGGAATTCAAATTTCATCAGAGTCTGCGGGGCTCCTTTAGCCTCTTGAAACCTTACTCACTGAACCCTCGCAAGGTCAGTGTGCAAACTGGCAGGTGAAGACCCTGATTTCAATGAGTCTGGCTGAAAACCTGGGTTTTCCAAGGAGACCAAATCAGTTATGGTCCCCTGTCCCTATCCACGTACTCCAGCCTGGCCCCGCTCATAACTAGCTGGCTTTCTGATGATGACAGTGGTGTCCTTTAGTAATCTGGGCTCCCTTCATTTGGTTTCTGATGCCAGAGGTCTTTATCTCTCGTACACAATCAGCCACCAGATTCTGTGCCTGTGTTCACTGCTTCTTCACTGTAAGCCCTGCAACCCTGCATTTCTTTTCTGCTCCCAAGGGCTCATAGCCTAAGTCAGGGCTGGGCTCTGCAGTCAACTTGTCTCCAGGTTGACACCCCCTGAGTGCAGCAGCCAGATGCATCTTCTTAGGAAGAACCATGCAACCTGCAGAACATGATGGAAAAGTGTCCTTGTACATGAGAATTCATTTACAAAAGAGATGATCATTACTTATTTTACATATTAAGTTTTCAAACTCCTATTAGACCTGTGGTCCTGGGTCAGCTGTGCAGACTTTAGTTACCACTAATCACTGGCATTTTGGGGCCTTAAAAGTTGCAAAGTGCTTGTATGTACCTCCTTTCCCCTTGCACATTTAAAGGATGATTTGGTTTTCCAGAAAGAATGATTTGCACACAATTTTCCAGAAATGTACAGAATATATCTACTATAATTGCACAAAGTGATATGTGTGCATTGTATGTGAGTTTGAAAATACAGTCTTCATTATAGACATTGTGGTCAAGCCCAGGACCCAAACTGAAGCCTGAGTCCAGACCCCTTCCCTAGACCCACCTGTCAGCTTCAGCTGCCCATCAGCCTTCCTGTATCCCGTCTAATCAGGCTCCAATCCTGCAATATCCTTTCTGTGCAATCATTTCATAATGGTTTCGTCTAAGCTGCTAGTTTAATAATCTAGATAATAACACACTTCATGCAGAATCATTAGTAACAGCTGTGTATTTGTAATCCATGCTGCGACTGTTTGCATCTTTAGAAACACAATAACATACTTCTTAACCAATTTTGAATCCCCATATGACCTTACTTTCTTCTCAACTGCTGATATCCTCTTTCTCCTAGTGCTGTGACCACCCATCAAGGGCTGCCAGGGAAACATCCCTGGTCTGTGGCCCACGTGTCTATGATTCTTTCTGGTGCCCCTTGCTTCCATTTCCTGAGATTTCATTGACCTTCATTGTCGTCAGTTCACTGATGTTCATGTACCTTAGCATTTACTGCATTCAGGAAACACGTCCCGATGCCCTGGTGTTATCTCATATACTCTCATTCTCAGAATGAAGAACACTCACAGCCTACTTTCTGCTCATTCCAGTTTTCTGCAGGGTACCTTGTGCTTCTCCTCAGCTCTGAGGAGGTTACATCCCTGCCCCCAGTGAGGGAACCCCTCTTGACTCTGTGCAGGGGAGCAGCAGGCAGCATGGCTGGCTGGCTCGTGGAAGGTGGAATCACTGGCCTTGCCCACTTTTGCCCTGGCCAGTCTCACCAGTCACACCTTGAGTCATTTCTAGAAAATATAAAAACATTGGAACTATGATGAACTATATTGTTCCACTCAAAGTTCATGTAAAATGATGAGGGTAAAATGTTGGTATCCTTGACAACAGCAGTAGGTAAAAGGTCTGGGTTCCGCTAAACATTCTTTGTGAAGCTAATTAGCCATTAATCAGGATAAGACGTGGCTACCTGGTGTTTGGCAGACACACTGGAAAAGGCACCTCCAGCCCCAGGTGCTAACCAGCTTTGATCCACACAAACCAGGTCAAGTAGGTGAGATTCTCCTGCTGAGAGGTTAGCCTGACACCTCACAGGACATGCCAACCGTACACTGTCTGTGTTGGTTGAGTGTCATTCTTTGTATACATTTAAGTGCTATTGTCATTGGAAATTGTGACATTTTAATGGAAAGGAATCATTAAAACCAAGTCAAAGCTACAGATCAAATCCTGCATTGTGCTTAGGACATAAGAACTTGGAGCATTTACCATTGGCTTTGGGCCACAGGAGTAGTGAAGAGAGTGGATGATAGAATTGAAATATTTTCTTTACACATTTATCTTTTTATTATCTTAGAAATACATGATCATTGCAGAATGTTTCAAAAAAAGAAAAAGTGTAAAGAAGTAAGAAGTCACCCAAACCTGCCATCTTGGAACAGCGTCTGACTACATTTTGCATATTCCTTTCTAGCCTTTTCTTATATGCTTTTCCCTTTTTTAACATAATTGGGAACAAACACATGTATTATCCTAACAAGCAAAGTTAGTGGGCAGAAATCAATAAAATAAATTCAAATAAAGATGAATGGAAATTCTGCTATTTTGTTCACCAAATATTTTTACAGATACAAGTTTAAGGCAGCCTGTCTTAACTTAAGTTGAAGTGAAGAACATTTTATTTTGTTTAGTTGACCACAAACTGAATGTGGAGAAATACTGACAGTACAACCTTAAAATTAATTGAAGAAAATACAGTGTCCAGTTCAAGGGAAGGATTTTAGAGCATTTTTTGATTGTGTCCTACTATTGGAAACAATTTTGAGTGATTATATTCATGTAACTATAGTTATATTTTTTACTTTTATGTATCAATTTCACCATTGTATGTATATATATATACACACACATATGTATTACATATATGTAACTAGAGTAATATATTTATACTTCTACATATTTATACATTTTATGTTTTTAATACATTTATATATTTATAATATATATTATATAATATATATAATTGTATATATACTACATAAAATATATGTTGTTACATAAATATACATTATTTATATATCTATATATTATGTTTACATAAAATCGATATATTTATATTTATTATAATATATTATAAACTACATATAAATAATATAAAATATTAAGTATAAACATTATAAAAATAATACAAAATGTATAAAATATATTATAATGGTTACACATGTGTAATTAATAGATATTTATGTATGATATATGCATATGTATGTATGTATATACGTATGGTGAGTACAAATGGCAATAAATACAATTGTTATATTTATTTCTCACATTCTGATTAATCATGTGTCTCATTCCAGGGTCTTCATGTTGGAAGCCACTGATCTGAAAGGGTAGGCTTTGCTCTCGGCATCCCCATATGCAGCTAGCTCTTCCTAGAGGTGGCTCCCCTGATGGTAAGGGGTCTGGGAATTGGGTCAGTAGGGGGCAGCTGGGAGACTGGATCTGCTCAGAACTTGTCAGGGACTTGAGGCCCCGTGGGGCACTGGAAGTCCGTGTGTTCTGGTACCAAGGAAGGTGTCAGATTTATCCCTTTCTCTTGGCTTCTCATCTCTTCTGTCACCAGTCCAGGTGTGTGCAGTCTGAACTGTATGGCTGTGCCCTGGCAATGCCAGCACATGAAGAGGCCTGGCTAGTCATCCTGGGTATTCCAAAGAGCTGTTTGGAAGCATTACATAATTGTGAAAGTGGTCCCAGTTAGCCACTCACCCACTTTCTGTGGAACGCTGTAATTGTATCATACTCACATGATCAAGACACATTTCAAAAACTCAGATTCTCATTTCTGGCAATTTTAGGCATAATGCAGATGGAGGAATTGACATGAAAGAGCGTATCAATTTAATCATACAAGACACGTTTTGCGCTCTTAATCCAAACTCCAATTCTAAAATGCAATAATAACATAATCCACCTGTGAAGCGCATAAGGTGGGCTTGCCCCAGAGACCCCACACTGCTGTGCGGTTACCTTGCTGTTCAATATATGCTGTGCTTACACTCTGAGAGAGAACTTGTGCTTCCTGAGGCCTTTCTTGCTCCATCCCCGTCACTGGCATCAGCTTGCTTTTGTGGCATCTATTCTTCTAGGAAAAGGAAGTTCAATCAGCTCATAAGAGCTGCTCACAATGACAGGGGCAGAGAACAAGCTGGGTGTGCAAATGGGGGTGGGGCTGGTCAGCAGGCTCACTCCCTAGCTAAATGATTCACTCTAACACGCCAGCTCCCTAGCTGGCACCCAAACATGGACCTCAGCAAAGTTAACAATTTACGTGTCATGGCCACCAGGCGTGGGGAAGAACAGTAGACTGCGGTCTCGAATGTTGAAGGGCGATGTGGTCCGTTATTCCTCCTTAGTTATCAGGCATGCTGGGCATGCCCCCAGCCTCCTTGAGAAGTGGCCATATAGAAGAAGGCTTAGGGTATCTTAAATACCTTCTCGAGGTGGGAAGTCGTCATAGAAAGTTGGTGGGAGAGCCCTGACCCCACAGTTCACAAATCCTGTTTTCTTATCTGCATGAAGACACAGTGTGGAGGTGAGAGGTAATGAGTGTAACATTCCCAGGAGTAGGAAGACAGTCTATGGAGAAATGATCCCTCCTAAACCAGGACTAGAATCCAGAATTCCTTAGCCATGAACTCGGTGCTTCTTCAAAAACTACAGCTATTGGAATTTCCCGTCTGTCCAAGGTTATAGGCTTGACCTGTGGCCATGGTAAATGCTGTCCACAACTCTTAATGACACAGTAGCACTATCTTTCTAAAAATTACGACTTTTCCATTTCATTTCTTTCTGCGTGGTCATCCGTGAGAGCCCTGCATTCAGAGGGAATAACGCCATGGGTAAGTTATGTATGTCAGTATACAATTTCCTTGCAGTGCTATAATAAACAAAAGGTATTGTGTATAATTTCCCACTGGTCTTTTTTGTTAATTGGGCTGTTACTGTTGAAGCATTTAGTGTAAAGAATAAATGAAAAACTGGCTTTTATGCACAGACTCCTTTCATTATGTACAAGGGCTCAAACTTTAAAATGAACTATTTTTAGATCTTACATTATGATATAAAAGGTTGTTTATTGCTGGTAATGCAGGAAGCAAATCGCATTTCTGCTTCTGCCCGTTTTTCCTGTGGTGACTTGCATGAGCTGCCATTCTTGCTGATTCATTAATTATGTCCCAGAGCGACATGAGGAAAATCTGATAATTTTTAACATGGCATGTGGTTCTCAAGACATTTCTACACAATTCAAGCTCAAATCTGCTGTGGCCAATCAGGATGGCAGTCCTTAGATGAATCAAATTAAAATTCTCTTACGTGAGTCCTGTTGGGATAAAAAACAGAAAGCAGACAGGATATCATACAGTGGGAGGAGTAGTTTTCGTGATAGTTTTTACCCAAAGATTGGTTCTCTGCACCCTCTTTCTCCTCCTTTTCCTCCCAAATCCTTCTTTCCAGAATTTCTTCTCTTTTCTCCTCCTTCTGATTCATGTTCCAACGTTGCAAATCTTTTTTTGTAATGTGATGAAATGTCACCGCGTCTCACCTGATAGTTCTGATGTCTGATACTAGAAACTTCCAGTATTTGCCGTGGTAGAAACAGCACAGAGAACCATCATGAACTCACCAATCTGTTACAGTGAATTTTAATTAATTCATCACAGTGGTCGCTATAGACATTAAGAAAGCATACATACACATAGAAATAATTAATAATTATTTTGTCAATTTCGGGCCAAGAAGACCCACGGACATCTCACAGTCCAGCAGTGGCCGCCCAAGGGCTGGGGACCCAGCGCTCATGATAACGCACGTGTTCCGATGGATGAGAGGCGCCTCGTACCTGCAGGCGGTCATGTATGAACCAGTGAGGCGCTGGGAGGGGTGCCGCCTGGGGTTGCAGGTCCCCCAGAACTCAGTAGCGCGGGACGTTGGGCGACTCGGCTCATCTCCTTGCATGTCAGTTTTCTCATCCGTAACAACGGAGATGGTAGCAGAAGCTTCTCCATGGGGCAGTGCCAAGAATTAAATGGGTGGGGGCTCGGGAGGCCTTTGGAAGTGGCGGGTGCGTAAGCCCGCTGGGTGCCGCACCTCTGGCTGTGCGCGGTGGGAAGGGGGTGGCCGCTTCCTGCTGCCAGCCTGGATGTGCCCGGGGGGCGCCCTGCGGGGTGCAGGATGGCCTTCTCGGCCCCCTCTCCTTACGGGATATGTCATTTCAGCCCTGGGGAACAGCCCCTGAGGTGGAGCCGAAGTGCAGGGAGTTGGTTGGGAGGGAAGTCGAGGGAGAGGGCTCGATGGCGGCTCAGCGCCCGCGGGGCCCCCACCTGTGAGTAGTGGGCCCGAGCGAATGGATTTGGGCTGTGAGAGCCTTGGACTGCCACGTCACTGAGGGGGATTCTCCTCTGGGGTACAGGGAGCCCCAGACCAGAGACGGCTTGTTGGGGATGCTCCTTGCTACTCCCACGAAGCTCCACATTGCTGGGGCCCCGGGAGAGCTGGGCCGCGGGTGCCGGTGGAGCCCTGAGGTGCAGCCCCGACGCGGGGTCACACAGCGCTCTTTGGGGCAGGCTCTTACGGAGGTCTGAGCAGCCCAACTCCTGCCTCCCTGGGGCCCTCAGCCTCCTTCGGACCTCTGGGCCTTCCCAGGAACCCTGGCATGCACCTGGAGAGGAAGAGTCTGCTGGGGCACCTGCACCAGCCCCCGGGCAGGCCTTGGCCACCAACTGCTCTGGAGCAGGTCAGCGCTCCTCTGCCTGGGGCCCGCTGGCCTCTGGGGGCCTCACCGCACAGGCCCCTGCTTGGGTCCTGGCACCCAAATCTCCCTGAATGGTGCCTGGTGAGCAGAGCGCCCCAGCTCCTGGTCCTGCCCTTCTGCACAGTGGCCCAGTCCGGCCCTGCATGGGACTGAGGGGTGGGCTGTGTGCTGGCCCAGCTTCCCTCTGCCCAGCTGCAGCTCTCGGCTCACCCTGGTGCCTCTGCATAAGGCAAGAACGCCACCCCACCAGAGTGAGCCTTGCTCCCCGCCTTCCCACCCAGGCCAATGCTGAGGGTCACCACCCTCAGATGGCCACCTTGCTGGGTCTCTGAGAGGGTGCCCACCTGTAGAAGGGCTCAGGGCTCCCAGGGAGGGCTTTCCCATGGAGGTGCCCATTCCCGAGGATGGTGGGAGGCAGCCTGCAGGGCCAGGAATAGGACCTGCACTTGCCCCTTCATGTCTCCCTTTGTCAATCACGTGGCTGTCCCAGCCTCTCTCTGTAGGGAACGAGGAAGCATTTCCCCAGGGGGAAGGAGCAGCTAGTATGGTGCCTGTCCCAGACAGAGGCTCACTGCTTAAGACAAAAAGCCCGTCTTGACTGTTTGCATCTTCTCTGCTTTCTCTGGGGGCAGGTGTCAGCCTTGCACAGTGGGAACAGGAATGAGACCCAGGAGCTGGGGGCACAGGTGGGTGCTCCCTGGTTTGCAGACTTGAGGTGCCTCTAAGTCACTGCAGGGTTCGTTGCAAGACAGGTCGCTGGGCCCCATCTGGAGTTTCTCATTCAGTGGGTCTGGGATGGGGCCCAAGAACCTGCCTTTTTAACAGGTTCTCAGGTGACACCAATATTGCTGGTCCCTTTGAAAACTGTCGTGTGCACCTACCTCCGCCACCGTGTGGACTCGGGGTCTGTCCGCGTCCTGCCTCCTGTGGCCACAACCTTTCTGATGACTCCGAAATGTCACTGCCTCTTTGAGGGCTGAGGGGGTCTGATTTATGAGAGCTTCTTCGGCTATTTTTTTAAGATGCCAGTTTCTTACTCAAATATCCCTTTCCTAGATCAATGTGGACGATTTGATTTTCCCCCTTCTGTTAGAATGCAACAATGATGTTGTGATTGCCTTTTGATTTCCCACTTCCTCAAATTTTATTTGCCTCTTTAAATACTCCAGATTCCAGATGTTGCCTGGATTCAAACCAAACAAAATTCCCACCTCAAATTCCCCAGTCTGGAGCCCCAGGTGCACCCCCACCCTCAGCCAGCTAACCCCATCCACTTAACTGGTCAAGACACAGGACACAAGGCCAGTCAAATTCATTGACTAGGTAAGACTCAAAGCCTAATTGGTCTGGTCTGAGAGCCCATTGGTGTCCACATGTCCTCACCTTCTTCGACATCTCTCAGGCCTGCCACCTGCTTCTAGAAGGCATAGCTGCTAACATGAAGGGTCAGTGGTGTGGCCAGAAGGCTATTCTGGTGAAGGAATACCTTCTCAGTGTCTCGAAACAGTGAGCTTTTTGGATATCAGTGTATTCCCAGCCCCAAACAGCAGTAGGACTCTTTCTATTGTTTCTAATGAGAAAGTGAAGTTATTTCTGGAATTTGGTGGAAGTTCTCATTCAAAATTGCTGCAGCGTTGACAT